AAAAAAAAAAAAAAAAAAGATCAGGGGACAATAACCTCTGATATCATTAAAGGCTAGGGATGGGAATCCTTTGGAATCTCACTTTTTTGTCCATACTTACATTTGAATAACGAGACACTATAGAGCTGTTACCAACAAACTGAATCAGTATCAACAAAAACCATCTTTGCACTGCAGAGGTGGAACACAAGCTGCATCTAGTGTTTATTTACAGACTTTTTAATGCAGCTCAGATGTGAACAACACACCAACACTGCAATTTCATAAATACTACTATGAGAGTAAAGTTTAAAAAAATAAAACTAATATCGAAATACAAAATGACAACAATGAAACTAACCAACACATGATATATGAAACTAGAACTGCCAATAGGTGGTGGCAAGTCCTCTTCATTCATTTGTTAAAAAATTCAGAAACAAAGCCAGACACTATTGTCTTTATGAATGATTAATTGAATCATTCACTCATACGATTCATTCAAATCCTAATTCATTCAGTAATGAAACATCACTGTCTGTTGCTTTGAGATGCGCAGTGGTTCAATTTGAATCCGAAGATATATGAATTGGGATTCATATATGAATCGATTTTTTTTTACCTCAACCCTATTCAGGATTATCCTGCATTATCTTTCTCATGCGAGACATTTACGGCAAAATACTCACCACTGCTGGTGTGTTTTGGGCTGGAGGTGTTGGAGCCAGTGAGTTTTAACAGGGAGCAATCAAAGCCTTTAATGGAGCAGTCCATTCCTGTGACGGCACACAGCTGCTCTTGGTACTCTAACGCTGCCTTCTCAAACCTTGGGAACAATGCAACATCAACATTTTATGAGAACAGAGCGACTAGACAAATTTGCATGGTGTAAAGTAGGTTAATTATTTTCAGAACACAAAACACTTACTTTCCCTCAGCCTGCAGCGCCACTGATCCCAGCCAGCCCAGGCTCTTGCCACTGTTGGCCAGACTCCAGGCTGCCAGACCTTGTATGGCTTCAGGGCATCGCAGCTCACACAACGCCTCCACTAACATGGTGATTGGCACCTCCATTTCTGGCCCCTACAGGGCAAAGCACAGAGCAAAAACAATGAAATAAGGCTTTCGGATATTAAATCCTAATAGTGTAGAGCCAGTGCCATACAATAACGGACATCTCAAAAAGGAGCAATGTTGGGAAGATAATGGAGTAATAGTTCCAATCCTTCAACCTATTTCAGTAATCATTTATTTGTGAAATTTAAAATGTATTGCAAAAAATTAAATGTGTCAATGACAATGGAACATTTAGAATCCAACTTAAGTGCCAGGGAGCACTTAAAATTACCTTTCACACAGTGTAACACAGCTCTAAGGGAATGAAAACATCCTGCAAAGTTTTAAATCTGAAAGTGCACCGTGTATAAAGTTATTGTCTCTCAAAAGAAGAGGCGACTTTGAATCATTGAAACCAGTGTTTTTTAAAACAAATCCCAAGCCGTTTCATGTTGACATCAACGTGAAATATTTGCATATTGCCCGCCCACTTGTTGGTCTTTTCGTGATGGTCTGAATGAAAATGCAAATTCATTCTTTGCCACTAGGTGCCGCTTTTGGAGCGGTAAAAATAGCGGTTTTCCCGGTAAAGCTGTACCAGGGTTTCTGCAGACTTGAACAAGTTAAATTTAAGACTTTTTAAGACCTTTTTAATACCACCTTATATGAAATTTAAGACCTAAACCTGTAATGGAAATACACATTTTATTACATACATATATGTAATATTTAATGTGTATAAATTAAGAAAACTAAATATCAATGCTGTAATAAATGGTATTTATTACTATGATATACAGTGAACTTTTCATGTCAGCAGACAATATTCCATACAAAATATCCCCACAAAATAACTGCATCACTGAGATTTTTGGTGGAGTAAACAATTTATTCTGAAGCAATATTTTCATCAGTGTTTTCATCAGCTTTAAATCTGCATATTTACCTTTACAAAGGCCTATTTTTAACCTTTTGCGATGTATGATGAAGTGGTATAAATATACACATTTTCTGCCCCCATGTCTTGAATTTGTGATCATTCTGAATGTATTTTAATAGACTGAATCATGCAGTGAAAGAGCGCACTGTAAATGCGCACGCGCACTAGACTTCACGTAATGCGTGCACTCTGTAGGTGTTTTGAATTTTTTTTTGCGTCGTGAGAATATTGAGTAAAATAGCTCACTTGTCATGGTGTTATTTAACTATATCATGTTATGAATAAACTAAACATTTTGAATTTTTACCTCAGTGTGTTTCTTCTGAGTTTATGTGTGCGGTCACGCTCATTTGTTCTGAAGTCTCGAGACAAACAACAGAGTGAGCCTCAGCGCGAGCTTGTATTCTGTATTCTGCTAACTTACTGCGATTCTCTCTGATGACACAGTAACTTACCGCGGGGAAGAAAACATCTTCGGTCTGTCCAATGATTGTAAAGTCATTAGGTCCGTCAGACCGTTTTAGCGGTAATGAGACCAAAAATAATTAAGACCCATCGAATCTGAATTTAAGACATTTTAAGACTTTTTAAGGCCTTATATTAGGAAAACGTTATTTAAGACATTTTAAGACTTTTTAAGGACCCGCGGACACCCTGTGTACACAAAGCAGCACTGCTCACAAAGGCTGCGTTATCAGGCATTACAGGCATGATGAAATGAAAATGAGACCAATCGGACCAATCACCGCAGATTAGCATCACACAAAGGAGGGGTTTGGAAAAATGAATCGTTAAAGGAATCTTTGGGGAGCCGTTGAGCAAGTAAGGTAAAAATAAATGCATATTATAAGACAATGAAAGCGTTTTTTGACCTTGCATGCATGTCAACCTGTTGTTGGGGACTCCCAAAACCAAAATATGAACCTTTCATTACCCATAATAGGGGCACTTTAAGACTTTATTTTCCATGTTTTCACAAAATTATTTGTTGGAGCCTCTTTTGAACAACACTGCTTCAAGTCTTACCTGTGCACTACTGTTCTTGATCTCAGTGAGCAGGTCAAAGCCATGACGGACCGTGACTGCTGGCTGACCCGAGAGGAGGCCCACCCTCATCAGTGCCAAACGAATTCTGGTTAGCCAGTCCTGGCACGTCTGTCTGTTTGTATAGAAAAATGTTCTGATGCCCTAAATAAAGGAGCAAAGAAGAATTAAAAAAATAAAGCTGAAGATGAAAACATGGAATGTCAATTGTACCCCCATTAAAAGTACTTGGAAGGATAAAGCTAGCATTTCATAGTGATAACGTGAAGGCTAGTTGTGTATATACTGAGGACAGACCTTCGGTGGTGCAGTGAGAGCGCTGGCACAGCCTTCATACGCATTGTACATGAGTTTCTCCAGGTTTTCCAGGAACTGCAGAAGCAGAGCCAGGCGGAGCTGATTGGTGTGGTGACCCTCATCACTCTCTCCTCCACTCCACTGACTCAACTCCTGCTCTGTGTTCAGACTGTGAGCCGCCAGGCTGCGGATCATACCTTCACCAGCACAGGGATAAAATATTGATTCATAAACGCACGACACACAACACCGTTCAAAAGTTTGGGATCAGTAAGTTGTAAAATTAATACTTTTATTCAGCAAGGATGCATTCAATTCTTTAAAAGTGACACTTAAGACATTTATGATGTCTTATGTCTTGAATACTTCTTTCAAAAAAGTGTTTCTTTTAAACTCTTTATTCAGCAAAGAATTCTAAAAAAAATTTATGTTTACACAAACATTAAGCAGCACGACTCTTTTCAACATTGATAAGAAATGTTTCTTGAGCACTAAATCAGCATACTAGAATGATTTCTGAAGGATGATGTGACACTGAAGACTGTCCATGGAGTCCAGGAGTGTCCATTGAAAATTCAGGTTTGCAATCACAGGAATAACGGTATTGTAAACAAACAGTGAACGGTGGCAAATCACACATATATATTATGTGCTGTGCACTCATAACCTATAATTGTTCCAGTTTTAATTATTTTTAATAATTTTAAATGAGGGTCCTTTTGGAAGATTGTTCATTAAATTAAATGTAATTGCATGGAATGGAGAGACCTGGGTGTATTTCCCAAAAGCAACTAGGGTCGCAAGTTCCATCGTTACCATTAGAATTTAACGAGGCTTGCAACCATAGTTGGCTAACAATGCTTTTGGGAAATGCACCCCAGCAATCTTCAAAATGTATTCACAAGTATCTAGAATGACAAATTAAAGTTATACAAATGTTGAAAGACATGAAGGGGAGTGAATAGTGTCAAACTTCAATTAGGCAAACTATTCCTTTAATAAATCTTGGAATTTTTTGAGATTAGTCAAATTCCTAAATGGATAGCTCGCTAACCCTCTATGGTCTGGAAAGTATCCTGGGCTCGTCCCAGAGGGGTCCGGAGTTTAGAGAGAACAGTGAACTGAGCGGCCTCCCAAACCGCCCACTGCCACAGCACCACCTCAGTCTTCAGCAGGGCACGGGGCACCATAGCGGAGTCTTTCTTCTCCAGCCTCTGACAGCTGTGGTACAGCCTCTCCAACCAGGGTTCCTTACTGCGTATGAAACAATGAATATCTAATAAATAAATCCAAAGATAATGACTCCCAGCACCCCTTTTATTTCAGCTGTAGATCTTCTACAGTACAGGGTTTGATCAAATATAAAATATATTCAAATGAACAAACGTGTCCATGTGTTCTCACCAAGGTGAGAATAAAGAAATAAACCTACTCACCCCCCACGGTGGACAGTTCCATACAGAATAAACCCAATGAGGTCAGAGAAGTCCTGTGGGTGGAATGTGTTGCTAGGCACTTTGCTCATGTGTCGGCGGATGGCCAGAGAAATCTCCTTAATCTCAGAGTGACCACGGGCACTGCTAGGAGACAAGCCGACAATTACCATCACATCAACTACCCCGAGACTCGAACTCGCAACCTTTGGGTTACGAGTCCGACTCTCTAACCATTAGCCCACAAATGTAAAACTACAAGGTAGGTTTTATTGCTCCCCTCTGGTTTCTATTGTGTGAATTCAAGACAGGTGAAAAGGAGTCTTGCAAACCTCAATGCAACGTGCATGGGAACAGATCTCAGCAATTTCCCAAAGGCCTGCCGGACTCGGACTGCTGAGTGGACCAGCTGAACTCGGCAAACGTCCACGCACCTGCACAGAGAAAGGAGACAGAATCAGTGCTGATCAAACAAGATGTTTTTTTTTTACCTCCGCCCCCAAGAGCAGGAGGAAGAGTTGCAGCACTAATGAATGTTCCTGCAGTAAGACAGCGTCTAACAAGCAGAGGATGTGTGATTACCTCTGGAGAAGCTCTGTGGTCAAGGAAGATGACACAACCTGAAGACTGTTACATGCCTGCAGACATATGGTGGGGTCTTCATTCAAGGCTACATAGAGGAAAACTGACATGTTAAAAGTCCATTCACTTGGTCACCAGTTTATTATCCTAACCCATTATTTGTTGATCTGGAGAATGATTCTCTTTATAACATTGTTTCACCTTTGTGAACTAAAAATCCAGAAATAACAACAGGGATATTAACTCACAATTTGCCAGTAAGCCTTTGCAGAATTTGAGGAAGGATGGGAGTGAGAACAGAGGGGAGTAGGTTTCAGATTTCTTCATCATCAGAGACACCTCTAATGACCAGGTGAGTAACAGCCGCCTAAAAAAGGTTGTTAAAAAAGACAAAATAAATATTCAAAGGGAATTACTAACAGTGGAGGCTGAGACCACACTAAAAAACAGTGATTAAAAAAATAATCTAAATCTTTAAGCAAGGTTTTCGGATTCAGAGGAAAAAATAAACACTAGAAATTAGAGGTCGACCGATTGATCAGCCGGCCGATTAATCTGCCGATTTTTGGCATTTTTTAAATTAATCGGCATCGGCCGATTGTGCTGCAAATTAGGCCGATTTATAGGCAGGCGAACCTGCGGGCAGCTAAGTGTTGACTTGTTGCGGAACTCCCTCTGAGGCTGCGTGAGATGGAGCAGCTCACACTCTGCAGCCACGGCTTGTTCACACTAGGGCTGTGCGATTAATCGAAATCGAATCGAAATCGCAATTTGAGACGTTGCGATTTCCTAATCGCAAAGCCTGCGATGTGGACGCGATATTACTCT